AAAATCAAAATGTTTAAAAAAAAAATGAAAATTTTAAATCAGAGCTTTTTAAAAATTTGAAATTACGGGAAGTTCCAGCAATTTGCCTCGAGGCACGAACTCATGCACCACTGGTTCAATATAGTTTTATCGTCACGATTTTTTTTTTTCAAAATATTCACCCAGATACAACTGAATTATTTTGTGCATAACCATTGTTTTCGTTTTGATATCGCATATTGTTTTATAAATAAATCAGTGAATATGCACTGTCCTCGATGTTTTAACGTAATTATATTACGTCAACCTTCATTGAAGCAAAACGAAGCAAAAGCAAAACTAAAGGCGGCGCGTGTCCGCCACTCGAATTTCTCTTTCGCCAAATATGAGAGGATGGCGGATGACATTTAATAAATAATAAGTAATTAATAATAATAGTATTCTAATAATTAAATTTGGTAATTTAAAATTTCAAACCCAAACCGTTATATAACATCAGCTGTCTATTTCAATCGCCGTCGTCGTCGTCGAGCAAATAATATTATTTGTGTGTTTTTAACCTTTCGCCATATGATCGCCGAGCACACATGCTCATTGACATATGTGTAGAGCGTGTAGGTCATGTGTTGTGTTTGTGTAGCAAGAAATATACGTTTTATCAATTAATAAAATTGTATCCAAACGTGAACTCTACCTATAAGGACCCACTGAGTGAGTAGGATTAATTGGTTATATAAATTTCATTAATTAAACCGGTTATTTTAAGACATTTAACCTTAAACGCACGGTTTGACAGTTCTTCCATATCGGCAGCCATGTTTGTTTTCGGTTGTCAACCGAGGCTTTTCTACCGAAATAAAGGATAATTAAAGGTTGTTTTAGTGCGGTTTAAGGTTTTTCGGTACGGGCTACACGGTGGAATAGTTGTCGTTGGGAGATAATTGTTGTTTCATTGAAAATTAGTTTGACAGATCGTACATGGTGGTGGTGGACGCCATGTTTGTTTTTAATTGTCATTGAGGATTAATAGACCGATTTGATAAATGATTTGTAGGTATTTTGCGTGCGTGGTGCTTTTAAATAAGTTTTATTAGTGTTTTTAGTTATATTTTGTTAATTCGAGACTTTTGTCATTTATAACTTGTTTGACAGTTTGTACTTGTGTGTCGCCATTTTGGTTTTTGACAGTTTATTTGTCAATGGAAATTTTGCACACCAATTTTTTAACTATATTCCATAATGTCTCGTAAAATTCTATAGGTTTTTACATTTACGCGTCACATACTATATATTTTAATGTACTATATATTTTATCCATATTTTATTTTCATTTCCATTTTTTGACAGTTTGTCATTATTGCACCAGGCCCTATTATCTCAGTACAAAATCCGCGTTCACAACGCGTAGTTCCAGTCACGACCGCTAGGCGCAAATTTGGCGCTAGTGAGCCGATGACAAGTTTGACAGGTTAGTAATTCACGAGCAATATGTACCAGAAATGTCAAAATTTTGTTTTGATTCTTATTGTGATTGTTGTGTTTACAAGTGTTTTATAATTGTTTATACGGTTTTATTTGTGATTCAAACAAAATCTATAACTCTTAAATGAAGAGGATATAAAGCAGTTGTTAAAGCAGTGTATATAATAAAAATTTAATCACAATACATTTTGGAAGCAAGCTAGGGGCTCTTTTATAAGAAAGGCAAGGCTCCTCTAACTTTTCAGAATTCTATTAAACTTTGGAGGCTCTGGAAAAGCATAAATAGACTAGACTTTACATTTTTTAGGAACGCCACTGAGTTAATGAACGAAATCCAATTGCCGTGCAAGATGATAAAATAAGTTAATTTAATGCAGCAGTTTTTTGAATATTCAAGATAAAATCAAGAGCCATTTAGCATGACTGGATTTATCGCAAAGAATGTGCTGAAAAGTGACAAATCTTACTTGGAATGATTATTAGTTAATAAAGTAATGCACAGACACTATAATTTAAACACCATGTTTTGTGTTCACAACATTATTGGTAGTGAATAATGAATGATTATCCACTTGAAGGCAGGAATCCTGTAATTCGTTAAACTTTTTATTTTTCCTTTTTTTTAAATAAATATGTTTGTTGCAACATATTGCTATTTACTTTGATATCTATTTTAATATATGTATTATTGTTTGGTATGTTTTGTTATTGTATAACAATGTCAATATAAGACTATTGTAATGCAAAATTTAAATACAAATAAATTATTTTTAAAATTGTCAATTTTCTTTTATTTCTAATTTTGGCGCTTTAATTTGAATGCATTTTGGAGCACGAGCGACATGCGATTAAAGCGCCATCACCCAACATTGCGGTCGTGACTTTCCCTAGCTCTCTGAACGCAAATACCGCGAGAGAGAAACGTCTATATTAGTATATTGTCTAGGTTATTGCACCGCCATGTTTGTAATTGACATTGCACTTGTCAATGCAAATTTTGCAAACCGATTTTTATACTTAATTCCGCGAAGTTTTTATAAAATCATTTCGGTTTTCACATTTATGAACAACGTACTACATATTTTATTTTCATTTACTTCGATGCATTCATTTCAATTTGTTTCTTCATATTTTGATAGTTTGTCATTGTGCTGCCATTTCTGTTTTTGACAAGCCAGCTGTCAAAAAGCAGATTTCCAAAGCAATTTTTATATTTAATTCTACAATATTTTTATAAAATTACCAGCTATACTGCACAAACCTTGGTTTATTATGCAATGTATTTCTATAAAATTTATAGAGCATCCAAAAAATTGCTTATTATTGCAAGTGTGTAAGGTTATGGTGTACGATTGGCATAAATAATAAAACTCCAAACTTTACTTTTTCCTATATAGTTTAAACATTATTTGTATTATCTGTATTTTGCTAATACGAACAAACTGGAAGGTATACTCACTTATAATACAACCCAAAACCTCTTTTTGGCCTTACGGCTAATATAGTAATTGCAAATTCCAATTTATTCGGATACTGATCATATTTCAATTTCTTCAGAATCTTCTTAAACTTTGGGTTTTGTGTATAATTGTACATGTTACTACTATGCTCAATACAAAATTTTCAAAACTATACGGGGAGAGATAGTAAATGAAATTAGTTTCGAATAAGAAATTTAATGGTAATGAAAGACCAAAAAGTTTGATAAAAAATATATTATTTATTATCAACGTTTAGAAACTATGTACATTAAATCTTTAGAACACTTGTCAATTGATCATGATCTTGATTAGGAGTTTTATTCCTTCGATGTTAGAAGAACATTCCTCTAGCACCGAAGGAATAAAATTATTATACATCATTTCACATTTTAACCTCAAAAAACTAGCAAAAATATTCCTAGTTACAAAACTTGTTCTTCTTTTTTTTTATTAAAAACAGTAATTGAAAATACAAATTGTTACATATTTTATAAAGATGTTGTGTTTAGTGATATACGAAGTATTAGTACATAATTAATTGCTATATTAATTTGAAACAAGACCAAGAAATCCTTGTTTGAAGCTCAACACATTTACAAATCATTCGATTACAAGATTCAACTGCCTACTATATTTATAACAAGCAAAAAGAGAAACAATTATTATTTAAACTCCTATATGATAATCTTGTGAAGTAGCTCGGTTTATATTTAAATTGGTGCTCAATCGATTAATGAATAATTTACATAAAATCTATGTGTGTCTAGTAATCTTTTATTGTTCATGTGCATTAAAATGTTCAACAAAATATCATTATCGTACAAAAAAAATCATTGATTTTTTAATATACCAGTACTTAATAGCTTTCTTATGGTATCGACAACAAGATAATTTAAACTAAAACTATTTTCATCTTCTTCAATTAGGTAAAGTACAAGAGGATGCACCTAATTGTGTTTTATTTCTTTAACTGAAAAAAGAGCAGAAATAATACAAAGTTACACTTCTTACGGTCATAATATTTTATGAAACATCGAAATGCAATTATCGATATTCACAAACTTTAACCTCTGCAGTGATAAAGCTAGAATTTTATTCTTAAGCATAAAACTCCTTCCATTTGCTTTTTAGTATGCTCTTTTAATTGACTTAATATAAAATTTCAAGCTTTGTGTTCAATATCGATGAAAGATAAACACAGATTTCAGCACACTCGTATGTAACTTCCTTCTTTACCAGTTATTATGAATTATAACTGCTCCTGAAAGTACAAATACTGAAAAAAAAGCAATATAGACTTATTTGTTATTAATGAAAAAATAATTTAAAATAACATACGAGGGATTTAGTATGACGACTTTCACTATTTATAATTCTGAAATTTATAGCATTGACACTATTACAATTGTTGCAATTATTAAGCTATAATAATAATTTCTATATTTTATTTACATCTTTCTTTCAAAGTTTTGACAGTTTGTCATTATTGTCCCGCCATTTTGGAAGCTGACAGAGCAGTTGTCAATGCAAATTTTGCAAACCGATTTTGTTAATGAAATCCACAATTTAATAATAAACTTACATTGTTTTCCACATTTACACACAAAATACTACATAACGCACTACATTTCCATTACCATATCTCCTTTGTTCTTTTGACAGTTTGTCATTGTTATCCCGCCATTTTGGCTGTTGACAGAACAGTTGTCAGTGCAAATTTTGCACACGGATTTTGTAAATGAATTATACAAAGTAGTAATAAACTTATATCGTTTTCCACATTTACACACAAAATACTACATAACGCACTACAATTTTATTTCAATTCCTCTCTAATTGTTTTGACAGTTTGTCATTGTTGTCCCGCCATTTTGGAAGCTGACAGAGCAGTTGTCAATGCAAATTTTGCAAACCGATTTTGTAATTAAATTCCACAATGTTATAATAAACTTATATTGTTTTCCACATTTATACACAAAATACTACATAAAGCGCTACAATTTTATTTCCATCTTCTTATTCTTTTGACAGCTTGTCTATTTTCGTCCGCCATTTTGTTCCGTGCGTTGGTAAGAGTGCCCCCTGTCAAATCGCCGTACGGTTGATTATGATACACTTATTGGCATTGCCATTGTTGATAGTGCTCGTCTTTTGCTTGGAAATATTATTAGTTATCGACTATTACGAGGTACGAAGTGTTGATTTAATTACTACTGTTTACCATACAATTGTGTTTATACTTGTGAATGGACGCGACGCTTGTTATTTGTAACCTTTTGTAAAAGTAACCCTCATAGCCAAGTTTGTACCACCGATAACTTGCAAATTACGAAGCATCAATTTGGTTGTTTAACATCCAACGCGTCTTTGACAAATTGTTATTGATTTGAGATAGTGTGTATTTAGTTTTATTGAGTATGAGTATATTTTAAGCACGCGTGCCCTACTTATGGGGCTTGTAAATTTGTTGTGTGTTAATTATATTTTTTTTTTGTTTTGCAGATTGTGTATGATAGAAGCCAAAACGTAAGGAATCAGAATGTTTTCGTTTCATAAACCTAAGGTGTACAGGTCGCCTACAGGGTGCTGTATATGCAAAGCTAAATCAAGCAGGTTAGTAATTGATACAAATCATTATATTTTGTCCTAGGTTTACTTTAAATTTGAAATTTTAATGGTCAGTGCGTTCTTACACGTATCTTTGAACGACGTATGACATTTGCAAGGCAGACATTAGCTAAATGTAGCCTTCTCACCATTCTTCTTGTATTTATTCTGAATCCATAACTTATCATATATCTATACATGACATACACACTTTCTAATCATTGTTTTTCACTAATTTAGTTTAGTAAAGATAGCAGAAAGTTTTAGTCAGAGGTTGATTGTTGTACGAAAGTGTTTAAGAAGTCATAACTTCTGAGCCATGTAAAAATATATATAGCATCAAATGTTGTATATTATGAAGGCTGAACAGTAATATATTTATGAAGTATATATAAAAGGAATGGAATTATGAGATTACTCCAAAGGCTATTAGGTCGTTCTTATTTCCTAAATCTTTAATTAATGGCAATTTGTTCAATAACATATTACCTAGTTCATAAAAAGTATAAAATGAGGAAGTGAATTTTATTGTGGGTCCTTTAAAAAGTTTGTCTTGCATTGTAATAATTTGATTTGGGGTTTGAACTTAAATTCAACATTTTTATTTTTATTCAATATTTTTTATTAAATAAAGCATTATTTTTTATAAAACAAAGCGTAATTAGGAGAAAAATGCAAGAAATGGTTTATATAAAAGTTGATCATATGTAGTAGACGATAGGGAAAACTTAATTATTGCTTTTTTCTTTATTGAAACATCGATGTAAGCCAAATTTGAAAACCCCCAGAATTGTAGTTTTTTATTTATTTATTTATTTGAACGCCCATTGCAAAAATACAATATATAATTACATTTTAAAGTGTACTAATTATAAACTAATGATAATATATGAGAAAATTATAGTATTAAGAATTAAGCGTATAGTAATATTATTGCTTCAGAGGCTTTTGTCTAAAGTTTGAATCCCCATTGATTTACATGCTTTCTAAACCATTTTGGTTCTATTTCCAACATCTAAGAAATAGGAAGAATTTATATAATCACTGAATTTAATTCTTTGATCTTTTGGAGAAAATAACTTAGTATTCTTATATCTATCTTAATTTTGCTTTATATCTGTAATTTTAGCATTCAACTTGTTCTTATATGTATATTTAAAAATATGATATTTACAGATAAATAAATCCTTCACACAAATCTACGGAAGTGATAATAATGCTATGGTAATAATATTGTTTTCTAAAACTTTCAACATCCAAAAAAATAAAATGCTATAATCGTATGACATTTACACATATGAGGTTATTTCATGATGTTCATTTATTTATGATATTTATTTATTTATTACAACCCACACATAATGATAATCTCGCTACAATAATAATGTTTTTCTCTACCACTTTCAACATCTAAAAATAGGAAAGTTACATTGATTATAGGAGAGTTACATGATTATACAAATCGATGATTAAGTTGCACCATTATGACTTCTTCTCATAAATCTTTATGTATTTAGTTCTTTATTTAATCCAATAAGTACTACAATAATACTGTTTTCTACCACTTACAACATCTAAAAAAATAGGAATGCTCGGTTAATTAATCGATACATGATATAAATGGATTATATAGAATTGATGCATTTTTATGACAGATAAATGTACTCTTTATTTATTTATTTATTTATTTAATACAATACAGAAATAATTTGTTTTCTACCTGAAACAATACCTAAAAAATAAAAAAAATGTGAAGGATTAATTGAGATACATGATCGATTACTAAATTTCGACTCATCATTATAGTACACTGATTGCTATACAATATCTCAAAGATTTTATAGGTAATAGTAAATAAGTTTCAATTATTTATAAAAAAGGTTGATATAATAGTATTTTGTAATACGTACAAAGTTTCAAGAAGTCAGTTGCAATATTCTTCGATATACATAACTTTAAATTATTAGTAAAAGCAATGTTAGTAGCATATAATATAAATAGCATCAAATGTTGTATATTATGAAGGCTGAACAGTAGTATATTTATAAAGTTATATAAAAAATGAATGGATAAGATTATTCAAGAGTCAAAAAAATGACATTTGGCGGTCAAAAATGTTCGTTAGACTTATATGCACATCGTATTATCGTATATTTTAGAAAGTTTGTAATGATAAGTAAAAATTTTGTGTACATTTTTATATGGGTTCCGTAACATTACCTGTCCGTGAGACTGCGACGCGGCGCTAACGCGCTTCGATATTTCGTCTTCGATATGCAGCTAAAGCAGCGCAATTGCTTTTACAAAAAGTTAAAAATTACCAATATATTTCAATATATAAGAAAATCTTTTATTTTTCATGAGTAATTTTTTTTTTTTAATTTCAAAATTCTCAAAAATAAATTTTTTTCAAGGGTTAAAAAAAGTTTGATTATTTTTTATAAAAAATAATTTTAGGTACTGGAAGTTCCAGCAATTTGCCTTAAGGCACGCTGCCATACACCACTAGTTTATTTATTTATTTAACTTTACGCTCATGGCAATATATAAACAATTTCAGTTTTAATCAAATATTATTTATTTATTTCTTTTTTATACATTGTAATAATATTGCTGCAGAGGCTTTTGTTTAAATTTTGCGACATTTGCTTTTTAATTAATTAATTTTACATCAAATAAAGAAAATTCTGTCTTAATATAATAAAAATATTAAGTAAATATAATTATACACCTAAAAATACTCAAAAGAAGAAAAGAAAGAATTTAAGTTATCTTTAATTTTCCAGACGTTTTGACAAACAATTTAATATCATGATCAGTGGATACGATTTACATTGAAAAAATCCTATTTTTTTTTTTTTATTCATTAACTTTGCTAAAATCTAGTGTCTTTCTTTATATTAAATTTTACAGATGTTTATTTTATCCGAACGATTTTTTTTTAACTTTCCGTAGGGTAAGTTATTGTAATGGGCCGAAAATCGGAATTGAACATTTTTACATTTCTCGACGTTTTGAAGGTTTCTGAACATTTTGGCATACCTCAGAAAAAATGCATGTGTGTGTGTGTGTGTATGTATGGATACAAATTTTGATCGACGATTTTGGGCGCACGGATAACCGATTTGAATGGTTCAAAAAACATTCGATTCCTATTGATAGGGAGATGTGTTGCTTAGTTTTTGGCAAAGGCAGGTCTATAGGTTTCGGAGATACGGGGCAAAGAGTGCAGAAAATAGAAATCGAATTTTTGAGGGAACGGTGTAACCGATTTGAATGATTCACAAAACATTTAATTTGCAATGAAGGAGAGAAGTGGTGGTTAGTTTTTGGCAAAGGCAGGCCCAGCCGTTTCGAAGATACGGAGCTAAATATGTAAAAATTGGCAGTTTTTGAGAGAACTGAGCGTCCGATTTAAATGATTCAAAGAACTTTCTGCTTGTTGAAGAAAATAACTGATTTTGGAAAAAAAATTGTATACCTTTTTTTTAAGTTTTTTTTTGTATATCCAAAATAATTACAATAATGTTACAATATTTATAATAATCTATTTCACTTACGGTACGGGAAGTTCCAGCAATTTGCCTTAAGGCACGATGCCGTACACCCCACTAGTTTATTTTATATTCATACAACATACTTATTATTATTATTTTTTATTATGAAAAATTATTTTAGAAAAGTTTTGACTTAACGTTTTTTGAATAGAAAATGCTCCAAGAAATAAACAAATGAAAACAATCTTTTGGAAACTTTTGAATCAATTAATAGACCTCATTTGTTTTTATCCATAAAGTGCTTTAAAGCAAAAACCTAGTATCGATTTTTATTAAATTTGGCACAAATGTGAATTATTTACTTATTTTACATTTATTTAAATTGTACAATTTTTATGTTATTATATTGATATGTACTAAAAATTTCATTTAGAAGATATAAGAAGTAAGTTGAACTTTTTTTCGTTACGTGTTGTAAACACTTTGAAGATTTTAAACACCAGTTGAACTTTTCCATCATTAGATTTTCTTTGAAGATATTAAACATCAGTTAACTTTTCATCTTCAGATATATCCAAAATTTAATTGAAATTTTCCTTTGTTTATTTGTTCTTCCGAATAAACATTGTGAATGATCTAAATGTTTGTTACAATCAGTTTTGTGTAAAAGTTAGTTTATCTCTTTATTTCGTAAATTTATGTTCTTCCTAAATAATTTGATTCATCAATTGTTTTGAAATTGAAGCTTCAATGAATAAACTTGGTTTAAAGCAAAAACTTTGATATGTTTTATTAATTTTCCAACATTTCTATATAATAATATACCTTTTTTATTTCTAGTTCTCGGTTTACCGATTCTCGCAAGTACGAAGACGATTTCGTGGAATGCTTTCAACTGCCATCACCTCGCAAAGGAGAAATTTGTAATGCATGTGTTTTACTTGTAAAACGTTTCAAACGTCTTCCACCTGGCTCGGACAGGCATTGGGGCCATGTAAGTTGAACATCATCATCGCTTGATTAAAATCAAATACAAAATTGACACTCACAATTAAATATTCTTATTAATTTTGCAGGTTGTCGATGCTAGGGTAGGACCCGGTTTAAAATCAATGACCAGGTTCAAAAAGAAAAAGGAAGAGAAGGAATTGGCTGCGAATTGTGTAGGATTTAACAATACGAATGCACCCCCTGAGAAGTTTTTGAAAATAATGAAGAAGAAGAGTAAAAAAATGAGAGAAGAAAGTGCCAATGCTCAAAAGAATAGAGAAAATAGTCCAAGTAATAATAAATATTCATATAAACCCACACTTTCTATAAGAACATAATTCTTATTTATCTTTTTCCTTTTTATTACCAGCCCCTTCCGATGACAGCACACCGGGAAGTCCTCTGAGTTATCACAGCGATGCTGATGACAATCTTTCCGATGTTGACTGCAATACCAATCAGCAATTGGCAGAAGATGAAAATAGTGCTGTCGTTCAGAATGGTAAAGAAAACAATGCCCAGAACAATATTGTTAGGCAACGCAGGAAAAGTCATAAGCCGCCTAGTAAACGCAAAGCTGGACCGCCTGATAGTGGAGGATTTTTGCAACCCGGATATTGGTCTAGGTAAGTCGATCTATGGAATTTGATAATAGTAATAAATATAGTTTTATGTGAATAATAGTATAAATATAGTTTATTAACAAAGTGTTATGTGCGGGTAGCTAAATTGATATTTGTTTCGAGAATAAACTTGAGTAAACTCTTAAATTTACTCAACTTAATATAATTCCTAATTGAAATGAAAAGCAAAGAGATTGTTGTGATAAAAAAAAATTATTGGGAAAGATATAAAAATGATTTTTTAATGCTATCACAACTCATTTAATTTAAAATTTTGATATATATGTTTAACCTAAATAATAGTTTTTAATATATTCTTCTTTAGTTTTTTTAATTTAAATAAATTTATAAAGACCTAAATAAAAATCAAAAGTTATATGAAGAAAATTAAAAAAAATATTCCAAATCCAAATATTTTTAATACATTTTTAGTTTGCTCGCCAGTAGAATTCCTCTTTTAAAAATGTCAGAATTGTAGAATTTATGTTGAAAGTTTATGTGAATAATAATACAACCGTTTATGCAGAAGGATGAAAACAGACTGACTGATTATATATTCTTTTAACTAATCACATTCATTACAAACATTATTAACAACCGCTTGTTTTATATAAAACAAAAGACAAACATATATACATAAACATAGTAGACAGAGAGCGTTTAGTATCAAACTTCAACAAGAATTTGGTCATTAGTATAGTTATTTTTTTATACAAAAATGTTCCTCAGTAAGGTCCCTTTTTGGCTTTCTGAATTAGCGTTTTCTTTTTCCCTAAAAATGGCAGAATTAGCTCGTAAGTAGAGTTCTTTTTTTAATATCTGAATTTGCTCGTCAGTAGAGTCCCTTTTTGGCTTTCTGAATTTGCTCGTCAGTAGAGTTCCTTTTATCTAAAAATGACAAAATTTGCTCACGAGTAAAGTTTCCATTTTTCCTGAAAATGGCGGCATTTGCTCGTCAGTGGAGTCCTTTTTTGGCTTCTAGTTCTATTTGATAATTTGATCATCAGTAGTTTGTTTTTTGGGTTTCTTTTGCTCGTCACTATAGTCTTTGGGTTTCTAGTCTGATATATAATTTGGTCGTCAGTAGAGTTCTTTTTTGCCATTTTAGTCCGATATATAATTTTCTCGTCGGTAGAATCTAGTTTGCAATTTAATTTGCTCATTAGTGGACTTTTCTTCTAGATCAAAATTAAGGTTTGTTTGTTAGTAGAGCCCATTTTTTCAACTTCTAGTTTATAATTTAATTTGCTCGTCGGTAGAGTTCCTTTTTTATCTTCTAGTTTTTAATTTTGCTCGTCGGTAGAGTTCCTTTTAAAACCTTCTAGATCAAAATTACAGTTTGTTCGTCGGTAAAGTTCTTTTTCGGGCTTCTACTTTGCAATTTAATTTACTCGTCAGTAGAGTCCCTTTTTCGGGTTTCTAGTTTGCAAATTCATTTGCTCCTGAGTAGAGGCACTTTTTCATACTTCTAGTATGATATGTAAATCGCTCGTCAGTAGAGTCCTTTTTGTAGGCTACTAGTTCGATATATAATTTTCTCGTCAGTTTTTTTTTTTCGCTTTCAATCCGATATATAATTTTCTCGTCAGTAGAGTCCCTTTGTTGAGCTTCCAGTTTGATATTTAATTTTGTTGGTCAGTAGCTCTTTTTTGGTCTCCTGATGGATACATGATTTGCTCGTCCTTGTTGGGGCTTTTAGTTTGATATATAATTTTTATTTTTCCTAGTTTGCTCGTCAGTAGAGTCCCTTTTTTGGGCTTCCATTTATTTAATTTTGTTTGTCAGTAGAGTCCTTTTGTGGGCTTCTAGGCGGATATAGAATTTTTACTACGTTGAAGTGTCCTTTTTATGGGATTTAAGCCCGATATATAAGTTGCTTGTCAGTAGAGTCCTTTTTGGGCTTTTGGCCCAACTTATAATTTTTATCTTTGGGGGCGTTCATTAATCACGTGAGGATTTTAGGGGTAAGGAGGCTTCGACAAAAAAATCACGAAAAATCGCATTGGTGGAGGAAAGGGTGTAGTAATATATCACGTGTGTTTTTATCAAAATTAAAAAAAAATTTTTTTTTGTAAATTCAAAAAATTTTACGTAACTAAAAATACACAAGATGTTTGTTGGGGGTGGGGGTAATTTTAAATATCACGACGTGTATCACTAAGGGGGAGAGGGGATCTAAAAATTCCTAAAAAAAATCGATCACGTGATTGGCCGCTCCCTTCCTAGTTTGCAATTTAATTTGCACGTCTCTTAAATTCTGGACATATTATATGTTAAGGGGGTCTTCCTATGTGACGGCCTGTTTTTTAGGGATATTTTAGGATTTTTTTTCTACGACCAGTAAATATTTAGAGCTTCAAGTTCAACATATATTTGGACAGTATAAATATAAAATTTCAGCTAAAAATATTCAGTCAAACTAGAATTACAGCGCTCTGAACACCTCCGCCTCGAAAAAAAGAGCTCCCACTTCCTCCACGATTCCGGCTAATCGGCTCATCGGAAAAAAAAATTAACGGCGTTTTAATTTGTAGGCTTAAAAGCACGGAATGACCTATAATCAAATGGATATAAAAAAAATTGGATTTTTGATAGACATTTGAAATAAAAGTTGCAAATTAGGCGTTTTTTTGTTTTTTGCTATAAAAAAATCGAACTTTTGCCCTGTAAATTTCAAGTAATTCGGTTCAGCCGTTTCTGAGATACAATGGAGGAAAGTTTGAAAAACACAGTTTTGAGAAAAACGCGTTTAAGTCCATATTTGCCACATGATAAATAAAATGTTTGTTTTTTAACTATTCAGTTTGGTTTATTAACATTGAGTATCTCGGTCACCGAAGTGTATTTAGGCGCATTTATGACGCTAAAAGATTATTTGTGTAAAACGCATATATGCTGCGCTCGTCCTCAAAGGGTTATTTTACTCGCCATTATTATGATCTAGGTCGAAATTTAATTTTCTTATCAGTAGAGTCCTTTTTTCAGTTTTCTGACTAGTTTTTGTAAATTGCCCTAAGACAAACTAGTCGCTCACACCTTGTAAATCATCCCATTATCTTCTTTCCAGTGTAAAAATGTGCTGCGGCACATTCTTCAAGGGCGCCGGAAACGAGCTGGCGATAGACATGACAAACTACAAGCCGTGCAGGAATCACCATTCCTCGCAAAAGCGCCAAAAATCCGTCGAATCCGCGACGACGACGACAATGACGACGACAGACGTCGTGGTCGCATCATCAGTGCTGCCTTCAACTAAAGATAAGGTATTTAGTGATAATTCCTCAGACTCAGGTTATGACGAGTACAGTAACCAGGAGAAAAATAAGGAGAACTCCGAAGACACGACCAACAACCAGGGTAATAAACCGTCTGCACCAGCGGCGGCGGCGGCGGTGGCGATGGCGACACCCGGTGGGGCAAAAGTACTTAGCATCGACAAAGTCCTCATCAAGCCGAGTTTTGTGCTGAACGGCGCCACTGTAAAGGTCAGTCCTGGTAATCTCGTTAAGCAGAATAACATAGTTGTAATTAAACCTAAGAAGCAGGTCGTAGCATTAGGCAACACCTTCATCGTTAAGTCTCCGACGCCTATTACGACACAAGTACAACAGGCAGCCAATTAATATTATAGACACATTTTCCATTAAACATCCCATTTTTATTTTTCTGTTTGTTTTTCCTAATGTATAAATATGTACATTTGCGATGCAATTTATTGCCACTAGTGATGTAAGTATTACAAATTGTACATGTGAAATAATATTCTATGACGTGAGAGAGGCTGGCGATGTAGTTAATTATAAAAATTAATAGGTTGTATACATAATTTTATATTAAAGAAAGTCATAAGTCTCGAAATTGCAATCGAAGTGCAATATTTATCAAAATTTAATTAATTTACAATGACAAATATTACAATTTCGACTGAATTTTTATTAGACTAATGTAGAATATAATTTATTTAAATTTTAACTTAGATTTTAAGGTTTTATGTTCATGAAGGATTAATTAATTAAATTAAGTTGGAAACTATTTGTGGATATCGTGATAAATTGTATGTAACAATATGATTGAATATTACGTGAACGATTTTATTAAATTACATCGTATTATTTATTAAGGGGTAACACCACTGTCTAAAAAAAATTGAGGTATTTATTATACTTTTAAGTACAATGAAAAATTATTGTTAAATAAATTAATATTGCGTCTAAAAACGTGTTTTTTGTCACTTTTTTCGTAGCGATACAAGTAATAATTAAAGAGAGAGGTATTTTCACGTAACAAACTATTTTTTGTTTAATTTTTGCAAAGTTGTTGACGTCAATTTGCACTCTATTCGTTTACTATAAAAAAAAAATTGAGGTATTTATTGAACTTTTAAGTACAATAATAAATTATTGTAAAATAAATCAATATTGCGTCAAAACGTGTTTTTTGTCTTTATTTCGGAGCCAAAAAAGTAATAATTGAAAAGAGGTATTTTCAAGTAACAAAATATTTTTTGTTTAATTTTTGCAAAATTGTTGGCGTCAATTTGCATTGTTTGAAATATTTGCAACTCATTCATGGATTTAAGAGAAAAACGTTTCGACACTTTTTGTGTGTCATCAAGCAGCCAATCAAACTAAGACAAAATCTGAATTTTTTTTAATTCTTGCGAAATTGTTAGCGTCAATTTATGCCCATTCGTCGTTAAAAAAATTAAAATAAAAACATTCTCCAATGTTTGTACGTTTCGACACTTGATGTGTGCCATCATTCAGCTAATAACAATTTTTTTTCGTAAATAAATAAAATTTATTGTGCATGTTTATAGCTTCAGAAATAGGTAAAGATTTTTAAAAATATTATTTTTCGTGTTGTAGATGATTAGAGTAAAAAAGTGACATTTTCAAAAAAAAAAAAAATACATGTTGAATTAAAACATGTTAATTTTTTTATTTTTTGGAAATTGTTGGCTTAATTGTATTATAGGATTGTTAATAATTGTATTATTTGAATTAATTTGCATCCCATTCGTCGATTTGAAAATTGTTAAAATAAAAACATTATCTACTGATTTTACGTTTCGACACTCGATGTGTGTTAATTTAAAATCACCAGGAAAAGAAAATTAGAAACAAAATTTAAATTAAGAAAAAAAACAGCTGTATGGTTCTGGGTTGAAAGTTGGAAAAAAATTACCGTCTAATTTGTCATTTTCATTGATGTTGGCGTCCAAAATATGTTTTTTGCCTTGAAATCGAGGGAAAAGGACTTTAATTTTCTTTTCCTAATGATTTTATATTAAAGTCCTTTTCCCTCAATTTCCAGACAAAAATATTTTTTGGATGCCAACATCAAAGAAAATGACAAATTTCACAGTTTATTATTTTTTAACTATTAATCTGGTATTCCAAAACCATACAGCAGTCTTTTTTTTTTTAAAAAAATCTTCCTAATTCTCTTTTCTCAATAATTTTATGTTAGAGCCCTTTTTCTTGATATCAAGACAAAAAATATATTTTTGGATGCCCAACATCAATATCCAAAACACTTAAAATTTGTAAAAAAAATTACTCAAATAATAATCAACAATAGAGTCAATACTTTCACATTACTTATTTATTTAAGAACAAATATTAGTGTATTTCAATACTAAAAAGCTTATAAATCCAACAAAAAAAATCTGTTGGGTATGAAATATTTTTCCACGTACTCTAAAAGGTTCAAAGTATTTTTCAATGCAAAAAGTATATTTTTTAGGGTCCCAAAACCCTCAAAAAATTTGTTTTTACAACACTGGTGTTATCCCTGTTTACAACAAATCAGCAAAACGAGATTCAATTCCTAAGGCGACACGTTTTTGTTTTAAATTGTAATTATTTACAATTTTATTAACGTGAAAATTTACAAATAAACTATCAGTCTATTCTATTCATCATATATATATTAATTATTTTACATCAATTCAAATATCGAATCGTTGTTGGATCTCATGTTTATTATTTCAATTTTAAAGGACAAAATGTGTGTACAATATTTTATTTTACCTACAAAACTCTTAGTTTCTAAGTCTTAAGCGTGAAATTCTTCTTTTAATTTGTATATTTATGTGTTTTATATATATTATATTTATTGATATTTATAATAATACTTATTAGTCGTGACGATGATGAATGATGATGATGATGATGATGATGTCCCTTGATTTATTATTTTTATTATTATTATTATTATATATTGTGTATATACTGCGTACCAGTAGAAAAGTCAAGTTATTAATTTTCTATTGTAAAAAAGGATTCTAGTAAAGTTAATGGGTTTCTTTTTTAGTCATGAGAACTTTGCTAGTCTTTTTGGTTGCAGGAGGAAAATAAATGATACTCAATTGAGAGAATAAAAGCACTGTAGTAGTAAATGATTTTGGAAATCGTTTTGAGGATTTTTTGTTTCGGGGGATTTTTTGATGAAACTAACTTGTGTAAATTTTTTACCATCGTAAAAGCTTTGTTTACTATTAACCCTTTCGGCGGCATCCGAGTGGAAAGGGTTAATATTGAAATATTCCTTGTTGCTATATATAGTAGTGTTTAAGAAAGTTTTGAAATGGTTTAGGGCAAGGCACAAAGGTCCAATTTGACTTAATTTGTTCCGCTCGTATCTCGAAACAATTTTTTCGATGTTCTAATTGTTGCAACTTTTTTGAAGGTGATCATAATTTTTCTAGAAAACTTTCCTTCTCGCTCAAAGTTCAAAGAAATTATTGATTTAGTAATATTACTAAATATTAAAATTAGTAACAAATAAATTCAGTTTTGTTTTTATTTTAGTTTGGTTTTGCAACAGAAAATTCAAATAAACTTTTTTTTTTTTTTAAGTAATTCCTTATTTTCGACGTATCTAAGAATCTAAATATTCCCTGAAGATGAAACGTATTTAGTTGCAAACCGTTGGAAATAAATATTTATTAAAAAAACATTTGCTTTTATTTGGTATTTAAAACAAAACCATACTAGTGAAAATTGCTTAAACTTAAAAAAAATGCTAACTAAAAAAACTTCGATTTTGTTTTTATTTTGGTTTGGTTTCGCAACAGAAAATTTATATAAAAAACATTTTTTTCAAAGTAACGATACTAGATACGTTCTATCTTTATTTTATTTTGTGTAACAAACATTAAATTAAAAATAAAAACAATTTTTGGCTTGTACATAATAATTTATTTCAGACGTTTCGATTTATATACTGCCCATCTTCGAGCTCTTTTTACATGTATTTGACGAAAAACCTGAATATAAAGTAAATACTGGTTCTAAAAAAAAAATTGGTATTTTCACTGCATTTCTAGACATTTAGCAAAAAAAATATTGACGTTTCGGCACTAAATTTGTTCCATCTTCGGATTTTCAAACGTTTTTTTACTGAATCGTTGAGAAATTAGTAAAAGGATGCAGTCGTTTTGTATTTGTCTTACTTTGTGATTCGAATAGAAAATTTAAATAATACATGACTGTGTTTTTTCAAAGTAAATATTTATTTCCTACGTTTCGAAACTAGATATGGTCCATCTTCAGATTTTTCCGAAATATTTTTGTTTGAATCTCTGACAAATTAGGAAAAATAAATGTTTATACTGTATTTTGTTATGTTATGTTAGGAACAAAAAAACGAATTAAAAACTGTTTTTTCTAAAGCAAATGGTAATGTTCGACGTTTCGGAACTAGATATGATTCATCTTCAGATTTATTTTTGTTTGAATCTCTGACAGATTAGGAAAAAGATACATTTGTTTTGATGTTTTTTTTATTCCGAGTTTGGCACAGAAAATTCAAATTAAGCACTTTTAAAATAATGGTAATTACCGACATTTCGGAACTGGTTTAGGTCCATTTCCTAATTTCAAAAAAAAAAAAATCCTGAATCTCTGGCAAACTTAAAATAGAAACGTTCGTTTTATTTTAGTTTGATTCTGCAACAGAAAATTCAAATTGAAAACTGCTTTGTTAAGTAAATGGTAATTTATGACGTTTCGAAACTAGATTAGATCCATCGTCAGATTTTCTAAAAATACAAACTTGATTCCGGGGTCAATATTAGTAAAAAGAACAAATTTTATAAAACAAATACATAACCTAAAATTTGAGTATAAATCCTTGTAGAAATATGAAAGACCAACTCAGTGCTCTTACCTAGAATAAATCGTGCATCCTGAAGAGCTCTCTAAAAATACATGTAATGCAACTTTTTGTGCATTTATTTACAAAATCTCTCATAGCTTTTAAACCGCTGGTCCAATTTAAATGAAACGTTCGACAAATTTTTACAAAACTAAACAATTTACAATATTGTCTAATATATCAAAGCCCTACAGCAACTCGGTATAATTTAAAAAGGACTCTTTGAGCCTTGCCTTAACCTACATCAAAATATTGCCAGAACTATATATAGTATGAAAAAAAAATCGAAAGTTTCATAAAAATCCTCGAAACATTACATCCCGAATCAATATTTTATTAATAAATTGCATATTCGATATTTATACGACACAAATATAAATATAAACCAGGTTTCCCGATTAAATAATCTTTTTGGTACAAAAAATACTTGACTAAAATGTTTTACTATTTATTCTTTCAAAAGCGAAATATATTTATAAACTTCAGTTATTTTGCAAAAAAAAAAACAAACACTTCCATGATGATATATAATAATTTTTGGTTTCAACAATGTGCAGATTTGTTCCATTCACATGAGAAAAAAAATTGTTTCGTTTCTTGTCGAGTGAAACAAATCTATGTATTAACACATATCAGTTTTATTTTTGTGAACGTATCTATTTTTTTAGAAAAAAAAATCCTGTATTCCTCGATTTAAAAAAAAT